TTTATATTTCATCTGAAAAAGAGCTTGGGCTTTTTATTTATTTATTTATTTATTTATTTGCAGTACAGGGAATTGAACTCGGGACCTTGAGCTTGCCAGGCAAGCGCTTATTCTACTGAGCTATCTTCCCAGCCCCAGAAGAAGTTTAAATGAGCAGAATATCTAATTATCTTGGATACTGCAAGAGCTTGGGCTTTAAAAAAATTTTTTTTTTAATTTATTTGGTATAGCATCTCACTATGCAGTTCCCCATGGCATGTGGTACTGGGGATAGAACCTGGGTCCTGTGCTTGCCAAGTAGGCACTTAGACTGCCAAGCTATCTCCCCCAGCCAGCTTGGGCTTTTTATCTATTCACAAGTTCTATTATTTATTTATTTATTTTAAGTTCTGTCATTTATCGTAAGACCTGTTGATAAAATCAATTATAAAAAGCATCCTCTGGAGACATTTGTATTATGACTAATTCACAAAGGGTTAAAATAAATAAAATGTAAATGGTAAAATATTTGAGTTTTTTATTTTTAAATGAGAATTTAGTATTTAATTTTAATTTGTAAGTCACTAATAATATACTTTTATAACTACTTGAAATAACTTTAGTGGGGCCAGGGAAATGGCTCAGTAGAATAAGCACTTGCCTGGCAAGTGCAAGGGCCTGAGTTCAATCCCTGGTTCTGCAATAAAAAAGAAAAGAAGGAAATAACTTTAAAATTACTTTTTTAATTTTTTGTATTTTAGGAAATGGTCTACAGGGTGTTCAGGGTCTCACTACTAGATCGGACTGGTGCTGATCCTCCTGTTTACAGCCTCCCAAGAGCTGGGGTGACAGGTGTGCGCCGCCATGCCCAGTCTCAATTGCCATCTCAGCAAAGTGGGGGGGGGATCAAGCAAGCTGGGAGATCGAACTCCTGGCCCCTGTGTCTGCTTGCAGGTGCTTTAATCCACTGAGCTATTTGGCCAGCACAAAATTAGTTACTTTTAAGCTAGATTATTATATGGCTTCTCACACAACTTAAGTAGAAATTATTTGATGTAATTAATAAAACATGATAATATATAATATGTATCCTAAAGTTAGCATATGTTGCTACCCTGAAAGCTTATAAATGTTACCACTTAAACATTCGCGCTGTGTGAGACACTAAGATTCACCCCCAGAACTGGTTTAAAAAAATAAAATAAAAGGTTAGCACAGATGTCTTACATATTTTAGCATGAAAAAAATGACCCATTGTGGTTTCTTTCAGGCCTGTGGATGTCTGGGCTTTGGGCTGCGTGATCATTGAGATGGCCACTGGAAGTCCCCATCTTCCTAGTAGCTCTGATTTAGATTTACTCTATAAAATCGTTTTAAAAGTTGGTAGGTATTACTGAAATAGCCTGTTACATATCTAAGACAAGTATTTACAAATGAGTTCTGCTTGATTTTTAGATTCCATTTTTCTGCATGAGAACAAGGTAGCATACTGTATTGATAGATGTGGCAGATAAAGAAGGCACAGCATTCTATTTTTATAAATATTTTATTTGCCAGACTGCAACTAGCTAAGCCATATGTTGATGGTTGATGCTGAGAAAAATAGTACAATAGGAATGTACTTCAATTTGTCTAAAATTTATTTTAAAATTTTTGGCTTCTTCAAATATTTGTGCTTCTAAACAAGGACTTTTATTTTTTTTATTTTTTATTTTTTTTCAGAACCGGGGATTGAACTCAGATCTTTGTGTTTGCCAGTCAAGCGCTTATCCTACTGAGCCATCTCCCCGGCCCCCTAAACAAGGACTTTTAAACAGCAAGGTTGAGTCACATGCTTTCAAGTGTTTGGAGATAGAAAATCAGTTATTTAAAAAAATAAATAAATAAAGCCAAGGCTAGCGAGATAGCTCAGCAGACTAAGCGTTTGCTTAGGCAAGTGCAGGAGCCAAGGTTTGATCCCTGGCACCATAAGCTGTGCCCGCCCCACCCCCGGGTGCACTGAGCCGGCGATGGAGTCCAGGTGTGGTGGCGCATACCTCTAATCCTAGCACTAGGGAGACAGAAAACAGGAGGATCACTATGAGTTCGAGCTGTAGTAAGACCCAATTAAAAAAAAAAAAAGATGAATAAAAAGAGAAGAAAATCAGTTATTTACTCAGAAAATATCCTTTTTGTGGGCTTGTATAGTTATTCAAAATTGAATCTAAGGTGTTGGCCCTGAGCAATATGTGTAGCTTTTTTCTTTTTAGATGGTCAGGGCTCACTAAATCATTGAGTTGCTCAGCTGGACTCAAACTTATGATCCCCTGCCTCAGCCTCCCAGAGTGCTGGGGTTACAGACCTGTGCTACCATACCCAGCTCTCTTAACAATAACAGAAGCATATAGTGGATAGCGAAGTAGCTGTGTTGATGTATTCTCTAACATTCTCATTGTGACACTAATGTTAGAAGGACTCTTAGAGGTGATAGGATTAATCCTGTTATTTTGCAGATCAAGAAACCAAGCCATAAAAAATATAGAGGTACTGGGTATGGTGGTGCATGCCTGCCATCCCTGCCCCTGGGAAGCTGAGGCAGGAGGATCACTGTGGGTTTGAGGCCACCCTGGGTTACATAGTGAGTTCAATCCCCAGTTCCGCCAAAAAAAAAAAAAAAAGAAATTAAAAAAGATCATAATTGGGGTGGGGGAGATAGCTCAGTGGAATAAGCACTTCCCTGGCAAGCACAAGGGCCTGAGTTCAGTCCCTGGTTCCAGAAAAAAAAAAAAAACATCATTGATACTGTTTCATGTTTCAGTTTTTAGTGATTTAATGTGTACCACAAAGCAATTTGATTATTTTATTTATTTATTTATTTATGTGTGTGTGTGTGTGTGTGTGTGTGTGGCCAGCTCAGCCCACCAGGGGGCGGGGCTGGCTGGCATGCGGTGCTGGGGGATTGAACTGCAGTCCCTGTGGCTTTGCTAAGCTTGTTCTAAGTAGGTGCTTTAAACCACTGAGCCATCTCACCAGCCCCCAATTTGATTATTTTGATTATAGACTTATTTCTGTTTTTTCTTTTTTCTTTCTTTCTTTTTTTTTTTTTTTTCTTTCTTTCTTTCTTTTTTTTTTTTTTTGCGGAACCAGGGATTGAACTCAGACCCTTGCGCTTGCTAGGCAAGCACTTATTCTACTGAGCCATCTCCCCAGCCCCTGTTTTTTTCTTAATGTATTCTTCTCTTTTCAGGTAATTTGACACCTCATTTGCAGAATATTTTTTTCAAGAACCCCATATTTGCTGGAATGGTCCTTCCTCAAGTTCAACACCCCAATAATGCAAGAAAAAAATATCCAAAGCTTAATGGATTATTGGCAGATATAGTAGATGTATGTTAAAGAATTAAGAATTTATACCTGAGAAATTTGCATGAATTACAGTAGTTTAAAGTATTACTTTAATGAAATTCTAAAAGGATTCCTAGTATAATATTAACATGTTAAAAGTTACAGGGGCTGGGGAGATAGCTCAGTAGAATAAGTGATTGCCTGGCAAGCGCAAGGGCCTGAGTTCAATCCCTGGTTCTGCAAAAAAGAAAGAAACTTACAGAAAATCCAGGCATGGTGGTTCATGCCTGTCATCGCAGCACTCAGGAGGCTAAGGCAGGAGGATCACTGTGAGTTTGAGGCCAGCCTGAAGTGCATAGTGAAACCCTGTCTCAAAAAGGCAAAAAAGTTACAGAAAAATTAAAATGTTTAGGCTGTTCGAACTAGAAGTCCCAAAGATAATTATACATATTATTTTTAGTTTACCCTGATTTTAATGGTAATTTGGAATAAACTGGAAAATTTCTAAGCTGTCATCTCATTTAATACCATCTTTTTAAATGTGCAGTCTAGCCAGGTTAGGGGTCTATTTGTGCTGTGCTGTCTCAAATAATCTATAGAGAATTTACTGACAGCTATAGTTTTGATGTTATTGAACAAATACATTTGTACACCAATACCAAAATTCATATTAGTCAGATCCTCAAGCCTTGCCAGATCTGCCCTGAAGGCATCCTGAGCCAGCCCCCCCCCCAAAAAAAAAATCCTTCACCATTCATGTTAAATGAGAAAACAGAAGCATGCTATAGCCTTTTTTATATTTTGGCAGTTACCTTTTATTTAAGCTAAGTAATAAACATGCTAGCACACTTCATTACAAAATATAAGATAGATTTAATGTGAATAGCAAATTTGCTTTTGTTTCCTTTAACCTGACAAGGGCTGGGTATATAGCCCAGTGGCACAGTGCCTGCCTGCCTGCCTGGCAAGTGAGGTCCTGAGTTTGATTCCTGGTAATAAAAACAACAATAAAATATCAACTTTTTTTTTTTCTTAACTAGTCAGTTTCTTTACCAGGAGCAGTGAACTTGTTCATAATGTATAGTCCTTTCTAAAATGTGATTTCCTACACTTTAGAGCAAATATATTGCAGTGATGAAAAAAAAGAGAGGGATTTTGGAGTCACACTGACTACATTGAAAACCAGATGTGCTAATTGTTCTGTAATTGGGTGAATTACTTAGCTCATACCTCAGTTTCCTGGGTTATCACATGACAGTAGCAGTACTTAGCTTCTGGGGCTAGAGGATTAAGTGATAGTGGAAAGTGTGTTCAGCCCAGACCCCAGAATAAACTAGCAGGTGTTAATGTTTTCTGTTTTATTGGTACATTTTAGATCTACAAAATGATCACATTCATCATAGGAAATTTGTACCTATACAGGATATATCTTGCTTTTTCCCCCATCCTCACCTTCCAGTGAACCCCTTTCCCTGTTTACAAAAGCTGTGTTTCCAACAGACTTCAGTGTTAACCGTTGCTGCTGTTAGGCTGATGCACAACACAAAGCATATAGTTGAGGGCTAGGGAGATAGCTCAGTGGGGGTCACTTGCCTTGAGTGTGTGTGCTCTTTGATTTGATTTCTGATTCTGCAAAAGGGAAAGAAAATCATTGACAGAAAACTTTTTAATTGGTATCTGGGGAAACAGTTTATTACTTCATTTTCAGTTTAACTTTTCTTGTAGAGTTTGAAATACAGAAGAAATGCATAAGCCAAGTTTGTTGGTGTAGATCTGTAATCCCAGAGGCTGAGACAGAAAGATCACAAGTTTTGAGTCCAGCTTGGATACCTCAGTGATTTAGCGAAGCCCTTTCTCAAAATACAAAATTAAAGATGGACTGAGGATGTGTAGTTCATTGCAAAGTGCCTGAGTTCCCATTACCACACACACACAGAGAGAGAGAGAGAGAGAGAGAGAGAGAGAGAGAGAGAGAGAGAGAGAAAGAACTATATAGTTATTACAGAAAATATGCAATAAACAAGAGAAGTTGGCACCACATGTGGCACTGTCCCTGCCCCAGGGCATCTGACCCACCACCAAGATCGGGTGTGGTGATGCACACCTATGATTCCAGTGCCGGAGGGGCTGAGATAGGAGGATCACTATGAGTCCGAGCTGTGTAGTGAGGCCATACGTTAAAAAAGAAAAACAAAAAAGAAATTTAAGCTTTTCCCAACTTCTGCATCATTAAAATTTTGGTTTCTATATTTTGAGTTTGTCCTGCACAACACATGGGTAGAAATTATGCTGTCATCCTTTACACTCTGCTGTGTAAAGTGGTTTGCAATTAGTAGTGTATTGGAGTCATACTATTATGTCAGTAAATGTGCAAATGAATTGTCATTTTCTGGGCTCTTTTTTCCTCTGTACTGAGGATTGAGCCCAAAACTTTGCCTGTGGCAGGTGAGAGACCAAACACTGAGCTTCTCACAGAAACTAATGAAACAGAAGCAGACTCAAGTATGTAAGTGTTTTGTCTATGATAAATGTAGCACTCCAAATCACTCGATAATTCTTTTTTTTTTTGCAGAACCGGGGATTGAACTCAGGTCCTTCCGCTTGCCAGGGAAGCGCTTATTCCACTGAGCCATCTCCCCTGCCCCTTTGATAATTCTATCAGTTATTAAAAAATATTCTAGGGG